ATAAATTCTCTTCATCTATACACCCACAATCACAATATTCAAATACCTCGAACAATTAACTATCATTATATATATATAATATAACGGATATATCATAAATATTCATTCATACGGAATAATATATAGTTATTTGATCTTAGAGTTGCATGGTAGATAACAATTATTATACAGGGTGTATCATCTAAGTAACTCACATTTTCATCGCGAATATAGAATAGAACAAATATTAGTGGTTTATATAATCTACTAGACACATACCTAACTTCAATATTTTTCTTTAAGGTTAATGAAGTAGAAGGACCCATTTTGAAAAAATGTAGGTATTCTGTCCAATATCTTGAAATTCATTATTTCCATTATCAACAACCTTCATTCAGCATGTAAGTAAATGATAAGTATACCTATAGTAGGTTTATCAATATCAATGTATATTTTTTATTGAAGTAACCAATAACAATGATACGAAGTGATTACTTCCATCTATTCATATTTCCAGAGAAGATCAATTTATATAATCATATTACGTGAAAACATAGCAGCCTTTGATTATTTTTATCAACAAAATCCATCCAAAATTGTTCATATAACTTTAGTAATCACATCAAGATCCCACATGAGTTTATATAAAACAAATATGTCCATTCTGTGACCAGGGATATTTATTATATTTTGGGATAAATCGAATAAAAACAAAAGTCTTGAATATTTGGAAAACCACTAATTTTTGTGAGTCACTCACTGTTTTGGTCACTATGTATAAGAGGTTATTTGAATAGTCGGGCAACAATAATTATTATATATAGATTGCCAATATATCTTTGCATATATATATATAGTGAAAATATCGAAAAAGGGTGTTCCTGCAGTCGATTGTAGACTATAGAAGACGTCCTTGTATAACGTAGAAGAAAAAAAATTGCTGTGTGTGTGCATTTTGCAACAGATACAATCGCTGTCAGTATCACGGCACTATTCATAGACGTAGATTATCAAGTTTTGCTAATGAGAGAAAAATACAATTTGATTGATATTCCTAGATTATATACAATTTGTGGTTTACACCAGAAATTATAACAGCAGTAAAAATATTGATAATGAACTTTTTAGTTATACCGTGTCACATATATATCACTCATGATACACCCCATTCGAGTTCTTGTCCAAATATGTCAATAAGTACTCTTGAGAAAATTCAATGTTCCAAATTTCAGAACTAGAGCTTTGGAAACGAAGGGAAAAAGCAATTGTACCATAAATAAGTCTGTGTCACACAGTATGTAGGTATACATAAAAAAATAGATTTGTTGCACCAATGAAATATTGTTGGTAATTATTTATTTGGAATGAGCGGTTCATTCAAAACTACAACAACAAAACAAATATTTCAATTCAATTATTTAAACTGTTCGCGATGGGAATTTTTGTTACATTCAACAACATTTATTGTTGCCGTGAACGAGATTTTTTCCGTCTGGGTACTGTAACTTCATTTATGTTTCTGATACAATTAAATTCATTAAGAGGACATTGCTCAACAAACATGCATGTAATGTGTAAATGACAAAAACAAATTATTTCAGAATCCTTGCTGTTACACATTGTTCGAAAACTGATTTGAAAAGTACTTATTGGCAGGAGAATAAATACCTTGGTCCGTCAATTGAAGTTTGATTTGCCCTCCATACGAAATATAAGTTGATATGAGTTCGAGAAAAAAACATAAAAAAGGGACTTTTGCCCTTTTGTCCATGAACATTTTTCGATTGATATTTCAGCTATTAGTCGCACCTATGAAAAATAAATCAATACATTTCAGACAACATATAGTTTTGTTCATAAGAAATGTTGTCTTCATACGCCAATGACATTGATGAACACACCGTTCCTTGCCATACTATTAAATATAAATAATATAAGATCCTCATAAAGATCTTATCACCTGCCATCAGCAGAACATGAACTTCATTTAATCGTTAATTAATTTCATGTTAAGTACTTAATGATAGCAATTGAATGTGAGGAATCATATATCGGAATTTTATGTATAGATATATACCTGAAAAATTACGAAACTGATATATTATGATGAGTTTTGATCTTTTCCTGACCAGGATGAGTGAACATTGAAGGTAACGGTGTGTACGTTTCAGAAAATTTGCAACACATTTGGATCTTTGTGCAATATTTGGTCATGTATATTAACTGTGGAAAAGACAGCCATGAAATGCAAATCTCCTTGATTTTTTTTTCGTATAATATTTCAACGGGTCCACAACTCGACCGAATCTTGACATAATATTGTTTATTTTCATGATTCGCCTTATAAAATTTAAATTCTTCAAGTGAAATAAATTTCGTAATACATAAAGTATTTACATTTATCTCGTATTCGAAATGTCAGAGGGATAACGTTACCATCAGAGCCGGCGCATATTTCCAAAACATCAAGTCCGTTCCAAGAATCTTACCACGCACAGTGACGTACATACATACCAAAATCTTCCGTTTTGCTCGCAAATCGACAAAAGTGTCAACTTTTCAGATTCAAAAGACTGTCTGTAACCTTAGATCATGTAACACATGGATTTGGATCGAGACTCGAGAGATAGGCATCAAATATATGCGTTCGTGGATAAAATCATATATACAGGGTGTTTGGTGCATCGTGTGCCAAATTGAAATGGTCGAATGAAGGGGTCATCTGCTATCCTTTAAGACTAGTTCACACCTTTCATGCCCTCTGGATTATTTTTAATCGTCTTTTTATCTGTTCACCAAAAGAAGACCCAAATTTCACATTCAAATTCAAGTTTTGAAAAAAGTATGAGGCGTAGACTCTGGATTTCAATTCTATTCAGAAGTGTATTGTGTCAGAGTACTTTTAAATACAACACTAGTGACATAAGTCATCTAGTTTTTCTTTAATTTACTCGCAGAGTTTCGAAATATGTGAAACTCAAATTGAAGCTGTGACTTTACATGACTCCTAAAAAAAACCAACAGCGACCAGGATCTTCCAACTCCCTCAAAAGTTCTCTAGTCTATCCTCTTGCTATTGATGTTCCACATGCCATAAATATCTTTTAACAACTTTGTAAATTCGCTAGAATTTTGAATCGAGTCACATAAGGCAAATATTCAGAATTATGATTTAAAAAATTATTTTGGGTTGAATGATACCTGAACCTTTTAAATTTGCTATCTTACTCTTATGAGGTGAAAGCTGCCTCGTATCCATATTGATTCGTGGATTATACTTGAAATAAACTTGTTGACCTATGTTACGAATGCAGGCTCGTATTTCAGGCAATGAATTCCAGAGCCTAGCCGTTCTATGGACGAAGGAGTTTTGATGAAGTGCCGTTCGACATCTTTCGAGGTTGACAACGAAAGGGTGTGCTGACTGGGCTTGTCTAGTTCGACTGACTGGTAATGCTAGTGAAGGGATGATAGCAGAGATTTCCGAAGAACATTTGAAATTCTGACAACTGACAACTTTTTTGCTATCAATGGATTCCTGTGTCATTTTCTATTCCAATGTTCATAATAGCCCCAGTTTTGCAACTGAGTATAACGAATGAAAAGAAAATAAAGTATGATCCTCTCGATTTTTTCCATACCAGCGTGTTCGAGTAATATATAATGATCCAATTGACATATTTGACAACTAGTATCTCAAATAGGTTGCACCTGAAGACATTCTTCGATATAAGCTGTTTACCTCGAAATAAAGTGTGGAATAAGAAGTAATAGAAGTTTTTCGAACTAATTCTGACTCATCCGTGCAATGCTTTTGCTCTAATCAACATTCAAAAATGTTCTGGAGGATGAAAAATTTTGTGATTTCTCGTAAAAGTTCATCACATCATTAGTTTTTAGCAAATATCTTGGTAAGGCAGGCAGTTAGGCATGCAGAATGTTATTACTTTCAGGTTAGGTATTGATGAGACTAACTGATGTCATACACCAATTTGACAATTCATCTGTCTAAGGAAAAATATAACTACTATATAATTACTATGCCACTGGTTGACAAAATTAAGAAATGAGAACTCTTTATGATTACCCTGATCAATCTGGATCGGTATACCGAGTTTCATATTTTTTGCTACAGGGGTTCTAGAGAAATTTAGAGAAATATTAACTTGTTTCGTGCTTTCGACACCCTGTATCTCAGTGAGGATGCATTTTAGGACGTTGATAGATTTTTTTCACCTCAAAATGGGGTGGGGAATCCGTGTATGAAGTTTGTCGGTCTTATTCTGACTCACCCTGTATACATTACAAAAGTCGTATCGTATAATTATTTGTATTGGATTGATCGCAAATTTGGGTTACTAATGAAAAGATGAACATACCCTCAAACGGAGAAGCTTTCCAATATAAAAGTATGATATTAATTTTTGATTTGAAATGGCTGCTACCGTTTGGTACGCTACTGCACATAAATTTATTTATAAGGTCGATGGAGTGCAATAAATATTGCAGATGAAATCCCCCAAGCAGCATTTACTTGCTGAAAGAACGTCGATCAACGAAGAAATCAGACAACTACATGACCCTGCACCCTGTCAGTTATTTTGGTAGGTATTTTATCGAAGAAGACAGAGAATCTGAGAGAAATATTTAATTTTTAACTCAGTAGCGGTGGAGAAAATTAGACACTTTTAAAGGCGAAGTGGAGAAACAGTTATCTACAAATTATTTATGATGTCGGTCTCTCCCAATGGGGTAAACAGCACATCGACACAGAATACTCCTGTGACATCGATTTATTCCTTCGTTGCAGAGTTACAAGGGGTTTTTCTTAACTCCAATGTACGTCAACCCTAAATACTGTCATTATTTTCGTGTTGAACTTATGACTCAGGCTGAAGATGTACTCTTCTGATTCCGAAATAAAACTATCAATGCAGAATATCATTATTCACTCGCCAGAAATGAAATAATGTGATGTGCATGATATCCACAATCTACAGATAAATTATGTTCTTTTTCAGATAACGTGCGGCACAAAGATGGCAATCGAAGGCCTGCCAATCAGAAAGCAGGAGCCTTTTGCAGATCAAGACATCCTCGCAGGAGCCGACTTCCTTTCAGTCTTCATGGACGCCTCACTGCGACGAGCCTACAGCGAAACCTCAACCTCCACTCAACCGACAACCATCCTCCTACTAGAAGAAACAGAACCACCGACAACCACAAGAAAACCCACCACCAGGCGCGTCAGAAGCACCTTATCATTTGCTCAAACCACAGAACAATTCAGTGATACTAGCAGTGACACAGACAGAAGTGACAGTGACGGTATCATTTTAGCAGTAAGAGTATCCTCGTCAGTGCACAAAGGACAATATCATTCCCTGACCGTAGATAGCACAACGTCCAGTAGCACAGCAACGACTGAACCAGAAGACCAGAACATAGTAGCTAGCGAAGAGCATCCTAGTATAGTAGCCAGAGCTAGCAAAAGCGAGCTCAGCGTAGAAGAAAACGAGCCCATAACTAAGGATAGCGACTTGGTGCCCGAATTCACCCGCAGCTATCCAGCCACCGTGAGAGAGCTTCCAACGCAGTCAGGGTCGTCCTATGATCCAGGTCTTGGTTTCCTCGATAAAGCCTCCAAACAGCCATACCACCAAACCGTCATCTACCATGACGACCCTAGCGAGCCTAGCAGAGCTCGGTCGGTATCCTACAGCTCCATACTGCAGGCAGTGCCTGGAGTACCCGTGGATACCGAGAAGCCGATAGTGCACGAACGCCACGAACGCAATTACAATGGTGCCAAGGCTCCCTACACCAACACCTACCACTCAGACAACAGCGCTAAGACTAACGAGACCAGAAGCGCTTGGAGCCCAGCGAAAGCAGCTGCGATCCAGCCCACTAGTCGTCCACACTTGCCGAAGGTCTACGGTATGCCTGAGCAGAATTACGAGGTGGACGAAGCTGTTAGCGTTGTCACCAATGGCAGAGCTCACGGGATCCAATCAGTTAAGAAGGCTGAAGACAATCAAAAAGTTGGTTATGTTGTGGAAGGAAGGAACTACAGGAAGTACCGTGTGGAGGAGCGTACGGCTGACGGTTTCATTGTGGGCGAATACGGGGTGGTTAGTCATGACGATGGGTCTCTGAGAGGGGTTAGGTATACTGCTGACGGTACCATTAACCCTAGGCTGATATCTGAGGCGCTGCTGAAGTTTTTGTCCCTGTGATTATGTGTTCGTGGTGCTTGAAGTGTGGATTTTAGTTCCTTTATCGATGTAGTCGAAGATTGTAGGATGATGTTTTTGTATATTATATTATTTATGAATTTTGTGAAGGGTGGGATCGTTGAACTTAACAATTTACTCAGAAATTAAGTAGTGATATCTGGAAGTTGATGAGGTCATACTAAAAATAACCGCATATGTCAGTTTTTGTTTTATACAGTTTCATTCATGAGTTGGCATCATGAATGGAAGAAACTTTTGATAATTTATTTTGAAATCGGACTTGGGCATCAAGTTTTGCTTCACAAAGAATGGAAAATATGCCTATACTCGGTCGGAGTACGTTTTTTTTTCAAATTAATCGCAGAAAATAGGCTTATTCGTTCTAATTTCGAGAAGGAAAATTTGTATCGAATTTGTACTCCTGCTATTGCAACTTTTAGTTCTTGATAATTTTTGATTCCTTCTAATTATTGTAACTTCGACAAAACTGTCCTAAACTCTGGTTAGTTACGTAAAGTAGTTTGATGATATTTTGATTGATAACTTTGGCATCATTTTATTACTGAAAAATTCAATTCAAATCAATTTTGCTCCTGAATTATAGACGGTACGTCAACTTTGCATCAAACATAACAGACATTTGAAGCGGGGATTATTATTTTCTGAAAAAAATCATATTTCTGTCGATAATTTATCAGTATTGAGAGTTTGTAGTATGATAAAGCTACTAGAATGAAATAGTTTTATCGGAGTTGGTTTTTTTGTTACAGACATTTCATAGAAAAAATATAAAAATATGAAAGTTGTCAGGAAACGTCACACATAATTATGTTGAATTGGAAAAGAAACAACTTTTCTTAGTAAACTTCAGACATGTCGTGAGAGTCACGTGACTCCGATAGAGTAGCCCAGTTTTCATATTTTTTAAAGCAAAACTTAACGCTCAACTCGAATTTCCGAATAAATTATTATCAAAAGTTTTTCCTATATACATACATATATAATGCCGACTTTATGAATGACGCTGTATCTGGGCAATCTCTGATAGTAATCACTAAAATATGGAGATTCAGCCCAAAATGCCTTATAAAAATGTTGCACATACAGAGTAGAGTGTTCAATAGAACATTTCAATTTCAATTTCTCCATAACTTTGGTAGACCGAACACTTTGGAATTCTGTTTGTTGTTGGCGTTGTAATTGATTGTTATTATTGATTACTGAATGTTTTTTCACTGTCACTTCGCTCACTTTATGATTGTGAATAGTAAAAATATTATAAGTGGAACATCAAATATTCTCAAGAGCGGATAACGCCAAAACGCGTTGATGTTCAACAATAAAAAAAAGAGTAGGTACCATTTTTATGTATGGCTTTTTGATTTTTGACTTATTTCAACCATTATTCAATGAAGAAGAAGAAGTAACAGAGTGCCACTAGCGCTCTCTATGAGCAATCATAAGTTACAAATTCGTATTTTTCATGTCAGAAAACCTGAAACTACGAAATTTCATGTTCTTGCTGTTTAAACTTACAGAGTTACTGAGAAATTTTGAAATAAAATCTTCTTCTTGAACACCCTAATCCACTAAGATTTTGATAAGGCATGTTTAGGCTGAATTTTCATATTTTGGTGTTTCCTAAGTGTAGTTTAGAGATTACACATTCCTAATAAATAACCCTGTATATGTTACTATTACTTATCACTTTGAATTCAACAAAAAGCTCCAACTTGGTTTGAGAACAACTTTCTGGTTATTCATAAATTAACATTTTGTTCAAATGAGTAGGGTTGTTGCTTCACAGTCCCACCCTGAATAATATTAACGTCAGTGAAGATCGTTCATTTTAGTTAGGACCGTATTAAATGTGTTATTGAAAATGCCATGAATTTGCTAGTGAATCTGAATACAAATAGGAATTTTTATACAAAAAAAAACGATATTCAGATGATAATGATTGTCTTTACCAATCGAATTTGTTACTTACTATTCACAAGTGAAATGAGAACATACATTGTTTATTTCTCACAATCATTTTGCTTTTTTATAACTCTCCATCCACATCAGATGTGCCTTGGTTGTGATATACCAAATCACTGTACTATATTATTTTCTGTAACATCAATTATTTAAGATAATCTATCTCATTTTTCAATTGCATGTGCATGTAGATTAGTCATCATCAGGAACTCATCAGGAAATTTTTGCTCCATATGTAACAAATTAGTTTAGGAAATGTGTCCTCCTCTCAGTAGGAAAAAAAGTCTTTCTTTCAAGATCCAACCACTGTAGAAACCATTTTCAATTCATTGAAATACTTATACCGAGAAGGGGAATATTCTGTTTTCTTACAAAAAAAATTGCATTTTTGTAATTCTGAATGCATTATAGATCTGTGTCTATCGAATGTTGACTTCAAGCTAACAATTTATTGGGATCATTCAAGTGGTTGAGATATTTAGTTCAAACATTGAACATTCAATTTCAAATGTGCTATCATATTATTATAAAATAATATACTCGTTATAGCTAGGTGATATTTTCCATTGCTCATGTATAAGTTTCGACGAATATTAGGCATAATAATTCTCATTAGTTTTGTATCTATTCCAGGTAGGTACAAATAAAATGAAATATTAATGAAATCGACTCATTTGTTTAATTATTGAACTATACCTATAGAAGAAATTATCAAATCTCTCTTCGACCGCAGTCCACCAGTCATGTTTGATTCGTTAATTTATTTCAGAATTTCTATTGTTAATGTTGTTGAAACATGAAGATGCTGTATATTTGGTATTATGATTATGAAAATTCAATAACAATTATTATACAACAATTAATTTTTGTAAATTATGATGCGCCACTGCAGCTAAATTTTCAAACGTCAAAGGCCTCGCAAGGTCGTCCGTGATTGTTTGATCGCCCCAAGAAATTAACAAAAAACCCCGTTTCAGATAAAAACCACTTGTCCACTACAATTAACGATTTAAACAGTGTTGTTTGATTTTTTGATCGTCATCTAAAGATACTAATCTAGATATTCGCCGATTTGTATCCGGTTTGTTTACTATTCAGATTATTATAATACCCACCTTCAGTTTTTGTCGCCTTTACTGATCCAATCAAAATAATTATGGGCATGACAGGCTCAGCCGCAAATGTTTAGGTAGAAGGTAAGTGGTTAAAGCAACAATATCTACCGGGTGTCAACGAATCTATTAGACAAGTCATAACTTCTAGACCATTAGGTGTATCAAAATGAGATTTATTGGCATAGATAAATAGAATGTGGCTCCGGTTCTAAATTTTCAAATGGAACACCCTGTGTATTGTAACATTTTTTGATTTCTTGACAAAAGAAAATGAATTAATATGAAGTATTTTCGTCAGTCATATTTAATTTATGTTCTTATTTGTAATACTTGTCACTAAAACTTCACGATTGTAATTTTCTGATATCACCTGAAGATTAGTTTACTTCCGATCATGGCCACCTAGATGTAATTTCTAAAGTGAATCCGAAAACATCAAGTAGGCATAAAAACTTTCGAAAATGTCACATTCTGATCTAGAATTGTTTCAAAAATCCAAAAATGTTACAATATACAGGGTGTTCCATTTAAAAATTTAGAACTGGAGCCATTTCCGGTGAAACAGGATGTGACCGGAAAGTGAAAAATATGTGAGAACTCTCCTCGTCACATACCTTTACCTATACCAAATCTCATTTTGATACATCTAATGGTCTAGAAGTTATAACTTGTCTAATAGATTCGTTGACACCCGGTATATATAGGTATAATAGAAACTTGCATGCACAGCCACTAAGCCAGACAGATTCTGGTTTAGGTCTGGTTTTTACATATAGGTATCGCTTGTACTGAAAAAATCAATGTCAAGAAACAAAATTGGGTCAAATTAATTCCAATCCATTTAAATAATCAATATTTAGCAAAACAAAACGAACAGGCCATACAAAAAATAAAAAAAAGTTTCCTTCGAGCCGGATTTGAACCAGCGACCTATGGATGTCTACATTTTGATATTCCCACTACAGTCCACCGCTCTACCAACTGAGCTATCGAAGGTTGAAAACTTTGATCGTGAATTGAATACAGGTTTGCAAGGTGTAGTAAAAAGGCTCAAATCAGTGTGTTCATTGCTCTAGTCTAGATAGGTAACTTATATCTTCTTCTTCTTACATAATATAATATACTAATAATATGTACTACTGGAACTGGTGAAATACACCTAGTATAAATTAGTTTAGAAGACTACAAAATCAGTTAAATCTGATTCTTTAATGTCAAAATTTCACGAAATGACAAGATTTCCCGGGAGATTTCCTCCAAATTCTTTCAAAAACACCACAAATTTCGCACAGTAGGCACATACCTATAGGTATAGCTTCTCTCAAGTGAAATACGCCATAATACGCCAATTCCTACTTACACTGAAGCCGAGACAATTCAAAATATTCATTTGAGAAGAACCTACATAAGTACCAACCTAGCCACCTATAATTACCTAACTATACTTCTTCTCTCATTCGACTTGGAATTACAAGCTATAAACAAATGTAGGATCAACGAAATAAAGAATAAATTATAGCAGTTATCCATTTTTTCAATTTTTCGATTTGGATTAGGCATAGATTATGAGCGACATGATTTTTTCAGAACAGTACCACTCGCAGTACTTCAGTTCTTATAGGCAACCAACCATACAACGCTGTTGAAAGGTTTGCATAACGACGATAACCATTACAAATGAATTCTATCCATCCATAGCACCAACCGACTGACTGTAAATCTGGAAGATGTCACTTTTTTTCAATTTGCCGTACTAATTAGGAATTCAAAATATTGAGATTGAGATATAAGTAGGTCGAAGGAGAACGGGATAGGACGCCGTTACCAAGTGGAAGAAAATTGCACACCTGTGGCAAAATATTACACAAATAGTGTTATTATTTCAAAGGAGGTGTAGTTAGTCAATACAATTTTGTGCTTTGGAAGATGTGTATATTATTGTGTAATTTTCCGCTATATGGATATATACATATTTCACAAATTGATATACACAAACATTTGTTTCGTTTCACGAAAATACTTCACAAACATCTTTTACACAATGCATAGATATGCAATCGCCTTTTCTCCCTCCTCCCGCCGCACCGGAATATTCAAATTATTTCGAATGAATAATAATTGCTGTTATCTTTGTGGATTAATTTGGTCAG